CACCCACGAGGGCGGGTGGACCGTCGACCAAATTCCTCTCGAGCATCTGGTCGCTCCGGGTAAGAAGCTGTTGTGTTGTTGTTGTTGTTGTTGTTGTTGTTGTTGTTGTTGTTGTTGTTCTTCTTTTCTTCTTCTTTCTTCTTCTTGTTCTTCTTCTTCTTCTCTTCATAATTATTATTATTTCTAATGATTATTATTATTTTATTATTATTTTTTTTTTATTATTTTAATAATAATAATAATAATGATATATTATTATTATTATTATTATTATCATCATCATCATCATCATCATCATCATCATCATCATCATCATCATCATCATCATCATCATCATCATCATCATCATCATCATCATCATCATCATTATCATTACTTTTTAATACTTTGTTACTGTTGTTATTATTGCTATTATTTCTATATTATTAGTTTTGATATGTTTTGTTATCATTATTATTGTTGTTGTTTTGTTGTGATTATTATTATTATTATTATTGTTGTTATTATCATCGTTATTGTTGTCGTTATCATTATCTTTATCAGTATCTTTACCATTACAATCGTCATCGTCACCATTATCTTTATAGTCATCATCATCTCTATCGTTATCATTATCTTTATTTTTATCGTCATCGTTATATCGTTATTATCATCATGATTATCATTACCTCCATCATTATCATTATCGTTATCAAATTGTTATCATTATCATCGTGATTGCCATCGTGTTCTATGTATAATTTAGTTTTTGTTAACATGTATTGTCTCATTATGAAATGGCTGTAGTTAGGCTATGATTGTATTATTGTAAATCTTTTATTTATTTTATATTGTATTATTGTGTCCTTTATGATTGTGTTATTTTATTATTGTATTGTATTTTTATGATTGTATTATTGTAAGCCTATTATTGGAATTCTTTTTATGTCATTATGAAATGAATGTCTGTACAGTTAGGTTTTGATGCTATTGAAACTGTTAATATTAATAGCAATAGTAGAAGTAATGGTAAAAGTGGAAATAATAATAATATTTATTTGTTCCCTTCCCATGGTTCTCTCTCCTCCGCTCTCCCCTTTACCCACTCTATGGCCCCTTTAACCCCTCCTTCTCGTATCCCCTGCCTTTACACCCCTCCTTCCCATCCCTCCCTTTACACCTCTTTCCTCCTCCCTTTCCCTTTTCTCCTTCCCTCCTTCTCTTTCCCCCTTCCCATCCCTCCTCCTTTCCCTCCCTTCCCCTTTCCCTTCTCTCTTTCCCTCCTTTACCCTTCCCTTCCTCCCTTTACCCTCCTCTCCTCCCTCCCTTTCTCCCTCCCTCCCTTCCCTCCTTTTACACCTCCTTCTCCTTTACACCCCTCCCTCCCTTTCTCTCTCCTTCCCCTCCCTTACACCCATTTCCTCCCCCTTTTCCCTTCCCTCCCCCCCTTTTACCCCCCCCCCCCCCCCCCCTTGCAGGAGTGAAAATCGACATCCGTGAGAAAGCGGAGAATGACCCCGCCGCGGAACTGACCCCGGATGACCTCATGGCCTGGCTGGACGACCACGGCCCACTTCCGGACGGGGTCGTTGTCTTCGTCTACACGGGATGGGGAAGCAGGTAAGAGGAAGGGGAAGAGGGGAGAAGAGAGAGGGGGAAAGGGGGGATGGAGAGAGAAAGGGAGAAAGGAGGGGAGGAGAGGAGAAGGGGAAAGGGGAGAGAGAGAAAAGAAGGAAGAGGGGAGAGGAAAGGGAGGGGGGAGAAAGAGAAAGGGGGAGGGAGAGAGAGAAAAGAAGGAAGAGGGAGAGAGGAGAAAGGGGGGGGAGGTGGAAAGGAACGGGATAAGGGAAGAAGGAAGAGAGGAGAGATAGGGAGCGTGGAGAGAGAAAGGAAGAAAGACGGGAGGAGAAGAAAAAAGAAAGGGGAAGAAGGAAGAGGGGAGAGAGGGATAGAAAAGGGAGAAAGGGGGAGGGAGAGGAAAGGGAAAGGGAGAGAGAGAAAAGAAGGAAGAGGGAGAGAGGGAAAAGGGGGGGGGAGGAGGTGGAAAGGAAGGGGATGAGGGAAGAAGGAAGAGGAGAGAGGGAAAGGAGAAAGGGAGGGGGGGGGGAGAGAAAGGAGAAAGACGGGAGGGAGAGAAAGGGAAAGGAGAGAGGAAAGAAGGAAGAGGGGTGTTTAGGGAAAAGGAAAAAAAGGTAAAAAGGGAGGAAAGAAGGAGAGGGAGAGGCAAGAAGGAGAGGTTGACGGGAGAAGGAGGTGTAGGCAAAGAGGTAGGTAAAGGAAGGGAGTTTAGAGGAAAAGGTAAATTTATAGCGAATAGGAGACAGGGAGATAAGGGGGGAGGGAGGCCGAAGGAAGGGAAGGGAAGGGTGGAGGAATAATTGAGGGGGAAGGGCGAAGGAGAAGGAAGGGAGACGGAATCAAATAAACGAATATAGAGGGAGATTGAAGGAAAGGGAGGAATAGGCAGTGTATGGAGGGGAGATTTGGGGAGGGAGAAGGGAGGGCGGGAGGAAGTGAGAAGAAAATTCATTATTATTAGTGTTATTTATTATTATTGTTGTTGTTGTTGTTACTGTTGTTATTGGTATCATTGTTTCTAGTATTATGCAACTAAATAAACTCAACAAGAGTGAAACACAGAGATAACAAAATTATTTCCACAAGGTTAGGTATAGCTGACATAAAGGGGACAGGAATGTGACAAGAAATGAAATAAATAAATAATAGAAGAAGAAGAAAAAAGAAAGTAGTAGTAGTTGTTGTTACAGCATGCCATTAGTATAACTTTCTTAGCTATGTTACAGGCTATGTAACTTCAGTGTTATCTGCCATAACTAAAGAAATACGATTATCCTTTAGATCTTTATGATACCGTTGCAAAATTAACCGGTGTGGCCTTGTAGAGACCATACTTACTGTCATTGCCGGAGACCATGCGAATGCGATGAGTGAACCTAGACTTCGGATTAAGATATCTGTAAATATTTATTAACAATAAAAAAAAATCTGCACTTCAGTTAAATTATGCAAATCTATTACTTTTGTTATGATATTTTAGGAATGGTTGCATCATGATATACAGTAATCACTGATGACAAATTCCAATCAACACCGAAATCATGGTTCTGCTGACGAACAGGGTTACCGCCATTATTGAATGCGACGCTAGAGCCACGGTTTCGGCTTAGAATGGAGTTACGCATCACTGATCACTTGTATCTCATGATGTAAGAATTTATATAAAGTTGTAATATAAGTAGTATACTTGTATAAAAAAAACGATAAGCGAAGTGCAAACATTGATAATTTTAATATACGAATAATCTTAATCCGAAGTCTGACGCTCCATCATCGCATTCTTATCGTTTGCGGAAATGGTGGTAACACTGGTCGAGACTTTAACAGGGGTACCAAGGCAGATAATTCTACCGAACCGCGTAGTTAGGGTTGTTAGTGCACTTAGACCATCTCGTTAGCCAAGAATATAAATATATCTTATACTCTAAACCAACGTTGGCGAAAGTTATGCAAATTTCAGTAATTAAACTAGATTATGCAAATTTTTAGATATGAACGAAAGCTCCAGATAAAGTAAGAAATACAGGAGATATTTATTAAAGATTTAGCGGACGATAAGAAAAAAAAAGTTTTATTATTGTCGCTACGTGACAGGCGGGTGATGACTGACAGCAGGTTAATATTGATATTGATGAATATTTTGAAGATGTCATAGGAAAAATCATGGAAAGAACATTGATAGGCTGAATGTAGGGTCTCGATTCCGTCTCATGTATATTTTCATTTTATTTATTAAAAGGGTTATTGTTTTATAATTAGCAGGAAAAGGGGAGGACATACAGTTGACCTTCAAAATGAGTTAAGTTAGTCGAGATATGTGCTTTTCAGACTTCGTTCTCAGACAGCATCAACTTCTCTATTGCATCTTCGCGCCATAAAAAAAAAATCTATTTAAAAAATAACTGTCAGACCTAACAAGTCAAAATAGCATATACACTGTATTTTACCTCTAATAATGAGGTATAAGATAAAACAATATAAAAATTATCTATAAGAATTTTAAAGAAGTAAAAACCCACAATAGACATCGTCCTTTCCGCTCTTTGTGAGAT